TTTTTTTTTTTTTTTTTTTTTTTTTTTTTTTTTTTTTTTTTTTTTTTTTTTTTTTTTTTTTTTTTTTTTTTTTGTGTGTGTGTGTGTGTGTGTTTGCGCACATTGGTTCTCTCTGCGCTTTCTTATGTGGCCTTTTGCTTTATTTTATTTTATTTTTTTATGTGGCCTTTTGCTAATCCAGCTGCTGCACTGAATGTCCATGGGCTGCCAAATGAACCCCAAGGAGAAGAACTTGTTGCTTGGAGTTTGAGCAGGCTGCACATCTTCAAATGCCACAACAGCTTTCAATTCCTTGCAGCTCTCAAGGTATTATTTATGCAGAGAACTGTTGTGTAGATTTGCCCGGTTGCCCAGCCGGGCAGAGAAAAAATAAAAAATTTCCGGGGAAAAAATATGTTGTGTAAAAGCAACTTGCCCGGTTGCCCGGCCGCACAGAAAAACCAACGTAGCTTCTTTTTCTTTATTATTAGCTCTTTTTTATACGAGTTTTTTTTTTTTTTTTTTTGCTTGGTCACAGCAGGTTGAGCAGATTCTGCTCTTTATTTTAACGAAATGTTGTTATTAACTTATTATCTAGGCTACCAGCCGGGCCGCCCGGGTCCCGGGGACCTTGTCCCACTTGCACCGCTTAGTTGAGGCAGCTCAACGGTGCGACAGCTAAAAAAAATCATTATAATTCAATTTCAAATGAGAAATGCATTTATAAATGGCAGGAATACAATTGTTCTCGTTTTTCATTTTTCACAATTGGAGTGGCATACGGGCACTTCCACAGCAGAAAATGAAGAGGTGCCCGAATCCCGTCCAAAAATGGCAAACGGAAGGAGGCTCGTACAGTTTCTCTTGAAAAACGCCTGTTGGGGGAACAAGAGGGTCGTTGAACTAGCTGTCTCAAGAAAAGGAGACAGCTAGTTCAACGGAAAGTGGCGAGGGTAGGGATAGTAGTATTCGAGAGAAAGGATTTATTTCTGTTTTTTGTTGTAAGAAAAAGCGAAGATGGTCTCTATTGCCCTGTTTATTAAAAACGGACTGTTAGATGAATTGGATGACGTGCATCTCCCTTGTCGCGTACAGTCACACAGGCTCGAAAACCCCACGTTGACCTAGCTCAACGGAGCTAGTGGGACAAGGTCCTGGGTGGCCAGCCTGTGCAAGGACCAGGGAAGGTCCTAGGCTCCTAGCAACAAAAAAAACGAAGAAAACAGATCCAAAAAAAACTATGTTATGCAGAAAAATAAACTGAACAATTTTTGCCTCAGGGTCACATCGAAATTGCTCACCAAATTTAGAATAAAATATATATATATATTTAAAAATTTTAATTTTATTTTTATTTTTTTGGCCCGGCCGGGCAAGTGACCCCGGGCCACTCTGGTAGCCTAGCTTATTATCTAGGCTACCAGAGTGGCCCGGGTCCACTTGTCTGGCCAGGCCAAAAAAAATTAAAAAAATTAAAAAAATAAAAATGATTTGTTAACTTTATTATTTGTTTTTAATCTGGTGCAGAATTTCGATGTGACCCTGAGGCAAAAGTTGTTCAGTTTATTTTTCTGCATAGCATAGTTTTTTTCCGAGTTTTTATTTATGTAGTTATTTTTGCTTGGACCTTTCCTGGTCCTTGCATGGTATTTATTTAGTTATTTTCGCTTGGACCTTTCCTGGTCCTTGCATGGCGGAGCCGCCTGGGAAAACAGGGTGACCAGGGCGGCCCGGCTGGTAGCCTAGCTTATTATTATTTTATTTTTTTTGTTTTTAAATTTTCCTGACTGTGTCCAATAAAAAAAGTCTAGACATATGTATGATGACGACTCTTTGTTTTTTTTTTCTACCATCCCTAAGGGTTCATGAATGAGTTGAAAGTTGAAGTGCTGTTCAATATAAAATTATAAATACTGTCCCCATAGGAGGAAACAAAAAAGAAAAGTGAAACTTTGTGTCCTCCTTATGGGAGGCAATATTTGTGGGAAAGGAAAAGTCACAATCGCTCAATGGCCTTTCCTCACAATAGGGGGCATACTTACACTAGGACTTTCTTAGATATATCTGACCCTATTTGCAGTCAAATTCCACCCAAAATTTATGCTTTGAGTAAACCTGGACGAACTCTCCATTGCATGGACTCCCCCTGGCAAGGGTGGATTCGGCGAGGGGTAATGAGAGTAAAGGACATCTGGGACATAGAGACGAAGGATTGGATCAGCCCCGACCAACTCAGACAAAAACTGAGGTACTGTCACTGGCCACACGAAACCCTGGAGGCGATAGTGGAAAAGATCCCCCTGGCCTGGTGGAGGATCCTCCACAAAGGCCCAACCCTACAAAAGAAAGACTGGGTGGCAGTGACAGGGCGACAAGGAGAAGTGGGCAGGGTGGTCCGCCGTCTCCCGGGAGGCAGCGCGGAAGTAACACTCTTCCAAGTGGGACGTGACAGCATAATCTCAACGAGTGATCCGACAGAAACCATAGAGTGTAAAAAAGAAGATTTTTTCAGAATAAGAGTCCTTGAGGAGAACAAACAACGCATAGCCTTCCTTCCCGGCTCCCCGATCCAACATCTGGCCTTGGACCCGCTAGAGTGGACATGGACAACCTGTTGGGGGAAAGGCGAGAGAAGCACCAGGACATTATATGGTCTAACGGTCAGATCCACCTATAGGTTGCTCAGACCAACGATAAATCTTAGACAACAGGTGGCAGAACGCTGGAGGGACCACTTGAATCTCAGTGAAGACGCTCTAAGACCAATCAAGTGGTTCAAGATGGCCAAAGACAAACCGGCTAAAATTGCTTCCCTTCAATGGCAGCTGGAACACCGCTGTCTGCCCACCAACAACTGGCTGATAGATCGAACCTCCCTAGAACAGAGAGGCCTCGCCCTCCCATGGTGCAAACTATGCATCAACTCGTTCCCCTCCAAAAAGCGCCCAGAGACAATCGAACACATTTTCTTGCAATGCTCGGGGGCGCTCTGGCTGTGGAGGTGGTGGGACAGAATCTGGGGGCAGCTGGAAACATTAGCCCCGTGGCCCTGGGGCTGGCAGGCAATCCTGTTTGAAAGCTGGCCCGAAGGCCACACAGACCAGCTAGATGACTTTACCGCCAACATGTTCAAAGTAGGGCGGAGGGCGGTACTCTGGGCGCTCTGGCGACGGCGTTGCACATTCGAAATGGAAGGTGCCAGATTGGAAGGGCATGAGTTTACGGAAAGCATACAGCACCAGGTTCAAACCGAAATAACCGTGTTGTGGGAGGAGGTAAAAACCCGAATCAGAAGTCTGGACAGAAAAAAAGACATTCTACTTAAAATTCAGGAATTCAGTATAAGCTGGGTCGGGGGACCTGATGGGGGGAGGATAGGGAAGGTTGAATGGAAAGGGGAACCCCCAGCACCAGGGTCAGACCAAGGGAGTCGAGAACTAGTAAGAGATTACTGTCTTATATTCAAAGACTGGACTAAGGTGGACGCGGCCATCCCCCTGAAACCTTCCGAGGACTTCCCCGAACTTTCCCCCCCCCCCCTCTAACTGCCTGGTCGAAAAGCAGTGGTATGGAGGATGAGTGCTAGACAGATAAGAAGGGGCAGGCAAGTATTGACAGGGGCGATTTTGTGCCGGATGCAAGGTGAAGAGGCTCCTGCCCTGAGGCTTTCGACTATCAAGCACAAGGGACGCTGGACCCGTTTCCCAGCAGTCAGCAGGTGGGCGGGGGAGCAAGCAGCTGGGGACCGTATCAGCCCCAGTCAGTAGGCGGGAGGGGGAGCAAGCAGCCGGGGACAGTATCAGGCGGGTGTTGGAGCAGATAGCTGGAGACAGTATCAGTCCTTAAAGTTCCAATCTGGCGCCCTCCCTTTGGAGGGTGAAGAGATACAACGGCAGCATCAGTTCTCCAAGTACACACGGCTCGGCTGGCAGACAACTCACAGATGCTTCTGGCTTTGCACATAAGCCTGCTCAGTCAATCCCCTGATTTGGCAGGGCAATCAATGCTGGCAGGAACCTTGGCCACTCGCACATAGCCAGGATATTCCAAATCATTTCTTTCAAGTGTAATGGGATGCTGGACCCGATTTCCAGCAGGTGATGCTCCCCACCAATAGATGGAGCCTCTCCTC